GGACTGTGTTCACGAACATATATGATTAAAAAAGCCTATTAATGGACAGTCTAACATTCTTGATGTTTGAATCGAAATTTTGCTCCTTTTTTTAACTTCAATTTTTTCCCCTTTATGGATTCCGGTAAAGATTTTCAAGATAAGTTTAATTAAGAATTCAACTTTTACTTTTTATTTCAAATAGTCAATAAACGAACAGTTCCCATTTAGAGATTTTAAAGAGGAGCTTTCGACAAAATTATAGATTAAATAGTTTCAAAAAAAAAAAAAAAATAGATTGAAGATTGAGAATAAAAGTAGAAAAAAGATAGGGCGTCTCAAAACATACGATCATAATTTTAACTGCCTTGTTCAATTTTGTATACAATCTTTTGTACACAATCACATGAGATAATGCAACAAGTGTAAAATTAGATATTGAATGTCGATAAGCATTAATCCAATCTCTTTTAGGTCTGCTCTTATATTACAGACAAGACTTTAATTTCAAAATGTACAATAAATTCTTAATTGCATCAATTTCATGATTTCGATACCTTTTACAAAGAAATTTTTCATAGATAAATCTGCGATACAAAGAAATCTTCATCGCGACAAGTGTGGTCGCGAAAAAAATATAATAAGCACGGTTGTAAATCGCCAGTGATTAAGATGCAAGGAATGACCGCAACTGATTGCACACGAGATCGTTAATCGTTGTTTCGCGACAGCTACGAGAAACATATTCGTTGCAAGAAATATTTTACGGACTTTATAAACGCCGATAAACCATCCACCTCTTGAAAATTAAAATTCGTTATTTTTCACTTAGCAATCTGTAACAAGATTCTAGAATTACTAAATGTAATCTTAGATTTAAATTAGAGATTTTTTTGGTTGATTTGAATCAATTTTTCCATTAAGAATATCGAGATATTTATAGCTCTCGTAATTTATGATTGCGAATGAAGTACTTTTTGCGAACTAAGCTTCATACAGAAGAACGAGAGAGAGAATCGATGACAATAGATTTATCATATTATCAGTTATATGTACAGGGTGGTTACTAACTCTCTTCATTCGAAATATTTCTGCTATTAAGGGGAAAAATTGATGAATTAAGTCATGACGCTAACTTAAATTGAATGAAACTCTATTAGTTTTGGAACATGTGTGCTTTAATACTTTATTTCCCAGAATTTACAGCTCTGTAGAATTCGATCATAAAAAATATCATTTTATTTAAAAAAATAAAATTGGCTTTTAAATTTCCTTCGTGTCTTTCATCCATAACGAAACTATTGTCACCATTTGACATGCAACACGAAACCGTGAAGCCCTTTAGCTGCAATTTTCTTTTGTTTAAAATAGCAGAGATATTTCGGGTGGAGAGAGCTAATGGATTACCTATTATGTATAATCGTCTGGCTTTTGAGTAAGTAATCGAAACTGACGTAGCATTAATCAAAATAAATATTTAATTTGTAATGTTCCTTTTAAACTGTGTGTGGAAAAAAAGCTCTTGCGTTTCACTATCGAACGTCAAATTTTAATATTGGAACGCCAGTTTTGCTTTATATCTTCATTTTTCATCTCAATTTCTTCGGATAAAAATAATCCTTGTAACTCCGGCAATGTAACGGCTTTTGAGAAGGTTCACGCGATTCGGTCATCGCACAAGGAAATCCTCTCTGGCTCGCAGTGAGCTTTTAACGCACGCTCACCCACGGTGATTACTTGGCAATTAATTGAAAACGCGCGGCAGGGCAACCATCCACAAAGAAGCGACGGGGTTCCGCCGAGGGTGGAGGGAAGGGGAGAACATAGTAGTAGATCGGCAGCGAAAAGAGAGCGAGGAAGAGAGAAGGAAAGCGGGAGGAGGGGAATCAACGCAGGAGGGAGCGAGAGGGAGCGAAAGGGAGCGAGAGAGACGGGGAAGGAAGGGCAGTGAATTAAGTTTCTCCGCCCCTGAGGCCGACACATTCGCCGACACTCGTCACGACCACCCCCTGGGGGTCCCTGCGAATCTTTCAATGGAAATTTCCCACTCGCGAAGGGGACGCCGCCGCCTTGGGGCTCCCCCCTAGGGGATTATAAATTCTCGCAGCCTCGCGACGTGACATCCGGGCACGGATCCTCACCCGAGGATTTGGTATCCTGTTTGAAAAACGGGATTCTGAAAGCCGGCGTCAAATCAGAGTATTCCGTTTTGCAATTTTTTCGGTAGTCCTTTTCGCGCGTTCGCCCTTCTTTCTCTTGGCGGATCGCCGAATGCGATCTTCGAGCGAAAAGTTTCTTCCGAAAGACGCGCGCTCGATAAGACGAGAGAAAAAAGATCTCTCTGCGAAAGATTCATGCAGAGAGCATCTAAGTCACGCAACGGGATATTGAACGTCGAGAACGCTCTTTAGTCACGTCGTGATTATTAATTGCAAGTTTAATTTCCCTTCTTCTACGCGCTGTACAATCAATTTCAGCAATCTTTTAATCAGTAAATCTACTTAGCTACGTGTCATGCTTTATTATACAGAATGCGTCCAAAATTATAAAAAAGAAAAAAAAGAACTTACTTTTTGTGCAAGAATAAGTGGAATAAGTGGAATACTTTTTTCATGTGAGATTTCATTCTTAAACAAATTGATTTTCAAAATTAAGAAATATCGTCTTTTTTTATCCTTGTTCTAACTTAAATAATCTTCAACGATCTTATTATATGTTTTTGAATTCATCTCGATAGTAGCTGAGGAAGTATTCTATACTAAAGAAGTTTTCTATAAAGAGTGTGTAGATTACTTTTATTTTTTTAATCGAATGTTATATATTTTTATAGCTATGGTTGAGATGAATTCAATACAATATCATTAAAACTTATTCAAGCTTAAAGAAGCGTAAATATATAAAAGCGTGTGCGAAAAAAATTTTGGCGTATTTTTAACGATCTTCTTGCCGTTTGTGCAACGATTTATTTTATTCAGTTTTAGAATCATTTTTGAAAGTATTCATCCTATAAAGTGTAACAAATATTATCGATAATGATAGCTCTCTAGATAGTGATGTGGGTGCACGAGTTATACTCATTGTCAGGATCCGAGAAGTAGGATCACGTGAACGCCAAGTCTAAAAATATCGCCGTCATACGCCATCATAAAAAACGCTTTATATTTCAATGTACAGGCGCCTCTTTCTTTCTCTCTCTTTCTTGGCAGTAAAAAATCGCAAGGAGTCTTAAGAGTATATGTCATTTAACCACTTATTGCCCGTTCGCCGATCGGTCGGTGACGTGCTTTTATCGTCAGGCGAAGGACAACGATTCTCTTCGTCAGAATACAATGGAGGCGCACCTGCCAGCCATATGAACTCACCTACCTGCGAACCCACGTTTTGTTTCGTTATAGGTGCGATGGCATTGATATTCTCGTGCATCGAACAACGTATCAATCTTTTTGCCATTGTTTGACAACGATCATGGTGGTCTCATGAAATAGAACAAAAAGAATAAAGGTGAAGTTCTTTTTTTTAGTTCTGTAATATTTATACAGTTCAGTAGTACAGTAGTACAGTAATATTTACTCAATATTCGAAAAATAATGTTCTTTCTAATATAAGAAAGAAGAACGGGGTCATTTTAAAAAACATTTTTCAAACTGAAAAGTTTTCCAGATCGCTAAATATGAATCTGATATTAAAATCGGCAAATTCAAAACAGGGAAATTAATAAAAATTTTGACAATTTTTTAAATTTTGGTATCTGTTATATTGATTTCGCCATTTTGAATCCAATTTTGACAACGGATTCATATTCAGCAATCTGAAGAAATCCTCAAGTTTGAATAAAGAAAATTATTTGATAGAGCCTCAATGGTCTAAAATATTTATGACATTTCCATATTTTTTTAATTATGAATATCTTGTTAACCATAATTGATACAAGTTGTTTTAGATAGTTGCAAAAGGCGACGCCTTCCTAACACAAGCATATTTGATTTTGATTGCAACAAAACTTAAGTTTGTTAAAGAATTATCATCGAAATTATTAAGAATTACTTTTATTTTTTTAATAGTAGTTATATATTTTTATATGTTATATATTTTGATAGCTTTGAGATGAATTCAATACAATATCGTTCAAATTATCATCGAAATTATCAAGAATTATATACATCGCGTACCGTAGTTATAACGGGATAAAATACATTAAAATAGCTTTTAATAATATTATAATATTATATCTTTTTTTTTTATTTACTATATCTCTCTATTTAATATCCACGTGTTTCGAATCTGATATAAGTATGAACACATATTCATTCAAATAGATCGTCGGTCTGCTATCTACGGAAGGTTGTGCAAGGAGGAGAACAATGTTGATAGTCCGCCGTATCGATCTGTTTTAAACAAGCATCGCGAATCGCGAGATGAATGCGAATAGATGTCGAGGTATGAAGACGAACATCGGTGCGTTTCGTTGCGTATCGATCGTTTATCGATAACAATCGACTTTGATGTTACTACTGATTGGACGAGCCACGCGTCCGATGTATCGTCTCGTCACCGTTGTTTGTGTCTCTCCCTCTGTCTCTCTTTCTCTATATCTCTCTCCTTTCATTCGATTCGTATGCAGCGGATCAAACAGTCTCAAAATAGGACAGTGATTGCGTTCGAGAGATGCAGCGAACTTGACTAGAGTCGGAAAACTGATCCTCGTAATTGCATTCGCGAACGCTTTTATAAGCTCTTTGTCAGTACAGCTGTTCGTTTCGCGCCAAAACGACAGCGGGAAAATATTTATACGGTGCTCTCCACAGGGAGAGAAAAAACATGGGAATGTTTGCGTGGGAAGAATATTAGTTCGGAGAAAAATATATCTCTTAAAAATTTTCTTCCTCGAGATAAATCGCGCAAAATTTCTCTCTCTCTCTCCCTCCCTCTCTCCCAAGGAATAAACTGCTTTTTTTACAAGATGAAGTTTCGGCAATCCGATGCCGATTACACACGACTCATGTGCTATTGTGTGCTTGCAGACAATTCTCCTCGGCGATAGCGGAGTCGGCAAGACCTCGTTATTGGTCCAATTCGATACCGGAAGATTCCAGCCGGGAAACTTTGCGGCCACCGTCGGTATCGGTTTTACGGTAAGTAACAGAGAGTCTCCACGCTGAGATATTTAATTAAAAGCCTTCCAGTCCGTCGAAACGTCTGTCGAAATGTATTTTCTCAGTATTATTTCGCGAAGTTAAATTTTCGCAGCGAAGTTTCCGTTCGCTTGAGATTTTTGCGTTTCTTTATTCGTCCTTTTGTAACTTATATCGGCGATTCAATCGTTAATTTGTACAATTTTTCTCGAGATCCATAATTTTTTAACATCCACGCTTTGTGGATTAAAGTTACAATTATTTTTAATGATCTTTCTCTCCGCGAAAAAAAAAACCAATATATGGACTGGAAGGTGTATATTAGTCTCTCTTTAACGGAGTTATATACGTTCTTTGTCTGGTGCACTATTAATTACAATGCACGTGGAACGGAATTGCGATGACGTATTAACGTCTGACAATGCGAGCAACATGATGCAACATGCATTCTTACATGTCTTGTTCATATTATGCGTTCATCTGCGACTTTGTCATGCAAATCTTTGATCGTGCATCGAACGATCTAATCGAAGAAAAAGAGGAAAAGGAAAATCATAAACACAACGGTCGACGTGATTAGAGACTCCTAAAACTGCCAATAATTGTTCGCGTTTATCCGTCTAGAGCCAAGAATATTTTGTCACATAAATCTAGAAAGAAAACTAATTAATCTCTCCTATAAATCTCAATTGTCGCAAGTTTCTCGTAACTGCATCTGTTATAATAATACTATTGTCTAGCTATTGCATCGCAGGTGTGAATTGCCACCCAACGATGAAATATCGTCCCATGTATCTAGACGCAGATCCTCAAGGCTGAGTAATAGTACATGCTCTTGCGTTTGACTTGGAGTTCTTAGCTCAAAGTAAATCGTAACTCTTGAGGCGGGAGGGTCTCGATAAACGCGCCCCACTTGCCAACAACCCTCGCCTGTGCATCGCGTCACTTTTATGCTCCAAATACCGGCGATACATTATTCGCTGCATGATCGGCTTAGTATTCCTTCTCGAAGATAAAGTTGTGTCTATGTGCGGATCGCACGATCTGTCGCGATCCGTCGAATGAATATTTATGACAGGCCTCTCCTCTCGAAGACGAGAACGCGCGCCTGTCGTCAGCGAGAAGTTCGATTTATAACTTTATTACTTTGATTTGAGGGAGGACCATAAAAAAGTTGCCTTTCGCATATCTGATATTTTCGCGGTCCGGCCGACGATTATCGGAGAGAGAGAAAAGGGGGGCATCAGTCTCGAAAAAGAGTCGTTGGAGCGAATGGCTTGAACCCCTCCCTTTTGTTCTCCGCTCGGTACAAGCTCTCGCGAATCATCAGAAAGACGGGGAAGAGAGGGAGATGCAGATACCAGCGGGAGAGAGGGAGGGGGAGGTGGCTCGGTCTGTGTGGGATTTTATACACAGAGGCGTTTGAGTATTGAGGTTTTCACGTGGCTGGCTTGCACTCGCCTTTGATGGACTCGCCGACGTAGAGAAAGTCCTTTGTGATACAAACTATGCAATTACGGGGGAGGAGATCGACCGATCGCGGTAGCGGCCGACTTGCGGATCATCGTGTGACTTTAGCGTAACCTTGGCATTTAACATAAATCGCGTGGTACGTGCGTCTGCGGGTCGAGTCCTATTCTTCACATCTCCTTAACCCGTAGAATTTATTTCTGTTATTTTGCAAATTTTATCGCGGCGGAAAAATATTTCTCGCGAAAAAAAAACATAATTGTTTTTAAGAAAAAGTATGTAATTATTTACAATGTATTTTTTTAAACAATTATTTGTTTTTTTCTTTACACTAATTGATTTGTCTCATTATTCTGTACATAAAAATATTACGGTAAGATTATCGAAAACTAAATATTTTACAAGATATTTTATTTTTTATATCAAAATATGTCAGAATAAAATATAAAATAACCCAAAAAGTATTAATGAAAAAATACTTTATCATAGTGTTTTGAAAAGCTCTCGAGATAAGCTACAAGAATATGCAATAAAAAATGGGGGAATAACTCAAAAAGTACTTAATGAAAAAATACTTTATTATAGTGTTTTGAAAAGCTCTCGAGATAAGCTACAAGAATATGCAATAAAAAGTAGGCAATTCCATTTAAAAAATTCAATTTGACCTTGATCTGACCTTGGCAACGTCATCCAAGGTCAAACAGTTATTACCGTTGATTGTGTCTTTTTAAGCCTTATAACTTTTGTCTGGAATATTTTTCTCTAAAATGCAATGTTTACGAGATATTTGAGTGTATCCTGACTTTCGACACACCCTGTATATTTTTATAAAAAATTTTTTCAATACTTCATTTTATATTAAAATATATTTTTCCGCACACGCGAAAATATTTTTTCGTCGCGATAAAATTTGCAAAAAAAAAAATATATATATAATATATATGATTCCAAACATGAAGTTAACCATAAAATACGCAAAAAGTAGAAAGAATTTTTGCGCGGCTCATGTTTGTATCTTTCATACGCGCCGAGGATTTTGCTATTTATCCCCCGTTGCGGCGGAAATATCGTGGACATCGACCCGTCGATGATTATGGGGCAACGAGTCGCCGCACTTTCCAGTTACGAGAACACGTCTCTCTCTCGGCACGACCGCCGTGCGCGCCAGCTCGGTTTACCGTATCGTCGAGAAAGTTGCAATTGCAATCTATCAAACGACTGCTTAGCCGCCGGATTTCACCGGTAACGCGAGAAACTATCTCTCGTAAATGTCGTCTTAGGACGCTCTCCCGCATGGAAAGTCTCATTTTGATACCGAGGAATCGCTCCGCGTCGCGGAGAAATCGCTCGCGAAATCATCGGGCCGCATTTTTCCTCTCGGGAGGGCAGTAATTAATATTTAATTAAACCCATGTTTCAATCGATTTGAATATCTCTTCTGGGATCTTGAAGCAAAGTATTATAATTTCCGCTATGTGATTCTATACTTGTTAAGATTTCATAAAGTTCTCTTTTTATTTTCTCTTTATATTTACACGCAATTGTCATGCAAATTCTTTTTTCACAGATAATTTTATCTAAAACTTACTTTAAAAACATTAAGCTAATTTATAAGTTCTATAGAATTTATAAATAAGCTTTCGCACGGAGAATGCTGGTTGTACGTTTGTTATTTTAATTTAAAGCGAAGACTCGTATATATATCTCGGATTTACAAATATCTTGCAGTACCCTTATTCCTCACGGAAACTTGTTACGATGCAATTAAGAAAGACGACTTAAGTATCTCGCGTAATCAGCGTAAGTGTCCTATTCAAGGGTTTTAATCTGTTCCGAGGGAGAATCGATGGTCCAAACTAATTAATTACTGTGAATTCCGGGCCGAGTTAAAGACCGTTACAGTTGATCAGCGTTCACTCAACGACGAAGAGTCGAGGCTGTATTAATTAAACACTTACGCGTATTATATACGTTCGTCTTATTAATCCCGACTTGCTTGATTAAGTAAATCTCGCGAAATTCCAACGTTATCTTTAATATGCAACTTGTTTATAAGCAATATGAGACATAAACGCGCGGATCCTTATTAATTTACTTCGTCTCGACGGTACTGGATGCTTAATAAAAATATCATTCGATGAATTCATGAAAATAATTAATTTTGAAATTTCTCAGAATTGCGTTATAATCTGTATCGATTCTCTTACTTATTGCATAACTTAGGTACCGTCTGTTTCTAACAGTTATTTGCAATTGATGTGAATCGCATTGAATTCTTATCGGCGATAGTTTCCAAGTATGTATTATACTCAATTCAATAATGTCGCCTTATCAGCTCTCTCTCTTTCTCTCTCTCTCTTGCGAATATGCACACATATATTTTTTATTTTATAAAATATTTTTCTCCATATTTTTACTTTCTTATTTAAAATTATTTTTACGAAGTTGATTGAATGCTTTAAATATTTCTTAAAAGTTTTTAAAGTGAAAAGAAGAAAGGTGAATTGTTTATAATTTGCATATTATCGGAGAACAATATAACAAAAATATAATATATTTTTTATATTTTTAAATAATTCTTTGAAATTTTCAAAATATACTATATGTTTTTTCGCTGTCAGTTTCGAAGGGATTTTAATGTGGAAAATATGTAATTTTATTTTATCAGTTTTTATAATCTTTCGAATGAAAGAATATCATTGCATTTCCTATCAATTTCTAGCAAAATTTCACTGATATCGCTATTTTATATTAATTGTGTTTTTTTAACCTCAATATACTTTGAGCGTGAGATGATAAACCTCATGTTCATTATAAATATAAGGGACGAGTCACGCAGAGAGCGTTGGTGAAATCGCGGCGCTTCGCAGTGACAAAGAGATAAAATGGACCGTGATCGCATTGAAGCCCAGTAGCGTAGAAAACGGAGAAAACGCGTCACAGTACTATCTTTGACAAGATATGAAAGAAGGGAAGACAAAGCGTATGGCTAGAGAGTCCGCTCAACATTGAGATACTTAGGGTAAAAAGCTACGAGGAGCTTGGAGTCGGGACGAGGAGGAGATGAATAAAGGAAACCTAAAAAGAAGTGATACGCGTTCTCGCGGAAAAAGACGGTGGTCTTTTCTTTCAGATGCAAAATCAAGTGAGATGTCACGGAGAAAATCTAAAATGAGATCGCGTAGAAAGTGGTCTCCCCCGAGAGTTAAAAATTGCTTTTTCTTAGAAATATCGATAATTACTTGCGAAAACTTGCGTTCTATTATTTTCCTGAATTCGAGGCACGTCGACTAGCGTCGATAGTCTGCGAAATAAGGAATGAAAGGCGGGAGTAAAGTTGATTATAATTTTCCAAGAGGCAGAGAGGGGGAAACAAGGAGAATCCTTGGTAAGGATGGTTGCACGCTCGTCGAAGTATCGAGGGTTAAAAGGGGAAGGCGGGCAATAAATCACTCGGCCCGAGAGTGCCAAGTTAGGCTACGCCACGTGACGAAGCAGATTCGGTTCCTTCTTTTCCCCGCGTTCCGAGTCCGTCCCTTTCCCTCTTTCGCGCCCGTGAAAGTCCCGAGGCGAAACGCGCTGATTTCCAGAATATTTGCTAAATTGCCTGTACACTTGGGGATATCAATTCTGCTGCACGCGTCTGCCAAAGTTTCGTAATTTTTTATAATATCACTATAGAACGTGATTTAACGCTTAAAGCGAAACTAGTGCTACGAATAAAAAAAAATTTTTTGGATGTGTTACTTAGAGGATATTATATAAGGTAATTCCGAAGGAGAGATGTGTGTGTGGATTGCCGTTTAAATATAAACAAAGCATTGAATTTTTGTATAATAACGAAGGAAAACTAAAAGAATATATATATTGGGATTCCACAAAAATATCCTCATAATTAAAAAATATAATAACTTAATTTTTAATACAAAATTATTGATTGTATATCCAGAAACAATTATCTACATATAATTTTCTTAAAAGTTTCAGTTTATTTTCTCTCCAAAAATAGTTTTTAAA